ACTCAGACTGGGCGATGCCCATGGCTTGTACACCCTCTCATTCTCCGTGGACCTCATGGCTCAGTTATTTCTGACACCCTCACAAAGCCTCCCAAACCTCTCCTTCTCTAGCCCAAAAAGCTACGGTGCTAATCACCCAGTGAGGAGTGCACAACTGCCAGCTTCCAGCAAAACGGACACCAGTAGACAGGAGAAAATGAAGCTCAGGGAGGGAACAGAGACACACTTCCACCCGGAAGTGAAACTCAGTTCCCAGGGGATGCACAGCAGGGATAAAACAGGTACACACTGCATCGCATCCTGGGCCACACATCACCAAAGACAAGGGCAGTGGAGCAGGGGCCTGGACCAGCCGCAGATCACTTCCGGCCATAAGGACCAGCCTGGGCCCTTCGTCCTCTTCCCGAGAGGTGCAGTTATTGAGTAGCAAGTGCCATTCAGGAAGTGCCTATCTGCATCCCTTAATTTAACTCAGTTCTATTCCAGCACTAAGCATCTGGGAAAATCAAGAGCACCGGGCGTGGCAGGGAGTGCCAGGCCGTGTCTCCAGCCTCGCTTGCTGTCCCCCGGCCCTACCTAACACTAGTGGCTCTGTGTCCTCCAGCTCAGTCCAGTGGCAGCAAAATCCAGAAGGCACCAGCATTCTACAGTCCACCAGAACAAGACATTCACCAAGGAAGCACGGACCCAACCGGGACAATAAGCAAGGACAGAGATGACAAAATTTAGGACAGAAAACAGCAAACAACCAGTGTACTTTATTCAATTATACCCCAGCTTTTCATGGGACAACTTCGCTTGAACACACATATTCACCCATCACAGAAGCTCTCTATGTTTATGCTATACAGTGCCAGACCATAAAGCATAAAGTTAGAAATAAGAAAGCAAAACTCCAGCCTGGCATGATGGTGCACACCCATAATCCCAGCACACAGAAGACAGAGGCAGGAGGCTCTCCACAAGTTCAAGGCCAGCATGGGCTACATAGTGAGCCCAAGGCCAACCTGAACTATCTAATGAGATCCTCTCTGAAAAAAAAATAAAAATAAAACTTCAACCATTTGCAAGTCAAACACCCTGAAAACAGTCAGAAATTGGTTGGAAGAAAACATTTCTTTAAAAAAATGAAGTTGCAGGCTGGGGCTTTAGCTCAGTGGTTCTGCCACCTGCCTCACAAGCACAAGGACCAGAGTTCGATCCCCGGTACCAAAAAACAAAAATGAAATCACTAAGAATATTTTTAACACTCAAATGATAAATATAAGTAAACAGTGTCCTACCAAAGCTTTATGAAAAGAAAAAGAGCTTCATGGAAGAAATAAGCAAGAATAATTAGCAATCTACTTAAAAAATTTTGAAACTACAAAGAAAATAAAAAAATCAAAACCACGAGTAAGTAAAAAGCAAACTGAAGAATTTATAATCTGTTACAGAAAGACATGAATGGACCAACAAAGGAAAAACATCAGAAAATGATTACGGAATTTTCCTCTCCCTCAGGTCTCTGTAAATAAATAAGCCTGAGAATTTTTTTTCCAGATGAACACTCTTTAAAAAAGGTTATATTCCAAATTCATTTTACTTAAGTGCAAGCAAAATAAGAACAATTTAAAAGAAAGTTATACCTCCAGAAAGTCTTCATAAAATCCCACCTAAGTAATAAAGAACACAAAGAATATGTACTGTGAACAAAAAAGGACTTACAGTGGGAATTCTGAGATGGAATAATGCCTAGAAAACGATCTGCTTTATTATAACCAGAGGAGGCATTATTAATTGTATGATAAATAACTGATATCCTAAATAGGCATTCGGAGCCCAACATGTACTCTGTGTTAATGCTCTCGTTTATCAGAACACTGGTGACCCAGGGAGGAGACACACCAGGACAGGGCCTTGGTTTGGAGGAGAACATTAATCGTTGCTTTTCTTTCTCTTCTCTTGGGAGCCCCGGAAGTGAGTGTGAAGCCGAAGCCCGCGATGGCCCTGAGGAAGGTCCACCCTCCCCGGGACAGCGGAGGGGACCTGGCCAGAGCCTGCAGGGGCTGCGCCCACACCGGACAGAAGCCACCAACAAGAACCCCGAGAACCTGCCCGCAAGGTTATAAGTAGTCACGCTTTTGAAAAGTGAGCCGAAGTGCTGTTATCAGCCGGTGGGGCCCTATCTGAAATTTAACTTTTAAAACTTAGGAAGTGAGCACATCACCCAGCGCAGACAGCCTCTCTCCTACCAGGCGATCGGCACCCTAGTTGCCGCAGCTTCCACTGAAAATGTCACATGGGGAAGGTGAGGGTTTGTCCCCAGATCCGTGCATGGAACATCTGGCCGCTGGTGTGACCGTTCTCAGAAGCGAGGGGTCCTACGCGGTCACCACGCCCGGCCCCACCGTTGAGAGGGGACAGCGCAGCCTCCCGTGAGACTGGGCTGGTCACCCAGAGCATGAGGGGCTCGGGCCTTGTCCGGCTTCTTCCCGACGGGGCCCCTCCCACGGGCACCTGCTTCCCCTGCTGTGTCTCCACCCGACGCCAAGCCAAAGTTGGTGCCTGGCTCTCGGAGCTCAGGAATTGGGAGTCAGAACAAGTCTCCTTTTAAAAACTACCCAGCCTGGGGTATCCTGATACAGCAGTCAGGGAGGCTACTGAAACGTGGCATTCGTCCACGTCATCGGTAATCAGGCTGCGGCTGGCTGCTGGCAGCACCTGGATTGCTCATCCAGGGTTTTATCTTCCTGTGCACCACAGAGCTCAAAAAAGCACAGTTCTAGAATTGAAAGCTCCTGTACTCCTAGATTTATTACGGCCATTATTTTAAAAAACAGTACCATCTCAGCACTAAAATAAATCAATCGTAATTCATAATTATCTTGACCGATGCTGATAATCAATTTTTAGCTAATTATCAATCTAAAGGACTTGTAGGTAAACAGATTTTGGGACTCTTCAGAAGGAACCACTACGGTAGCTATAACATTCATCTTTAAATTAATATGCAAGCTGGGCTTGGCGGCCCCTGCCTATAATCCCATCCTCTAAGAGGCTGAGGCAGGAGGATCACCATGAGCTCGAATTTAATGAATACAAGAAGCTAAAGATTGCTTCACTGAGAACAAAGCAGACCGCAATCACCTTCCTTCTGTCCCTGACAGATTTCTGGGCAGGAGAGCAGGCAATGTTAGAGCCATGGTGCAGGTGGATTTCAGCGAGGCATTCAGAAGACGCCCTAGGGGCGGGGCCTGCGTTAGACTGGAGCGGGGCAGAACGTGCCCAAAGGGTCCTGAATATTAAAGAACAGCTTCCTCCAGTCTGGGTCCTGGAAGAAGGCTCTATCCTTGTAACTCACGAGTTCCTTTTTATCGATTGCTTCGGTAAAAGCTTTAATAGCACATGGGGCGTATTTTTGGTTGACAAATCACTACCAGAGAGAAGGCAGCCGGCTGCTTGTACCAGGCACACTGGTGCCGAGAAGGGACAGCAACACAGGACTGCCTGTGGCTGGGGTTCGGAGACCGAGCAGCCACAGCTGCCTGGCATATTTTGCTTCAGAGAGGTTGCTGAGCCCTGTGTGTACACATGTACACGTGCACACACACACACACACACACACACACACACACACACACAAAACGTTGTGTGGGCAAAGGACTAGAGAAATCGACATCTCATAAAATCTACTTCATATGACAAAATACCAATTTAAGATCAAAGAAACCAAATTTTTCTTTATTACCCATACAAGTGAATTAATTTATCTGGCTGGTTTCCTCAACTTCCTCAAATCTGTCTATAATGAAGGCCTTTTCTTAAAATGGCAAAGTTTTGGGATATTCTTTTTATGAAAGTAAAACAAGCTGGGCATGGTGCACACTTTGCTGAAATCCTAGCACTTAGAAGCCTAAGGCAGGGGAATTGCCTCAAGTTTGAGACCAGGCTGGGCTGTATCGTGAGTTCAATACCAGCCTGAACTGCAAAACGAGACCCTGTCTTTAAAAAAATGTGTAACAGTAGGCACCTGACACTGCAGGAGGCTGAGTCAGGAGGACGGCAAGTTCCTATCCTGCTTGGGCAAGTTAGTAAGACCCTGTCTCAGAATTTAAAAAAAAAAAAAAATGACTGGGAATGTAATGTAGCTCAGTGGTAAAGGGCCCCCAGTTTCAATCCCTAGTACTACTGCAGGAGGGAGGGAGGGAGGGACACCATAAATACCATAGGCTTCCTCTAACTTGCTACTCACTAGAATTTAGCTTTAAGAAATTATCCCAGGGAATGAAAAGGCTCTAAGCACAAAAATGTTCTCTGTAGCATTCGCTACATTAAATGCCAGCTCAGAAAAGGGTTAAGCACACTATGGCATGTCTACTGCCCGAAACAGTACACTCAAAACTGTAAAAACAAAGACTTTAACATAGAAAACTATAGTTAGTAGAAAGCTTATTTTTTCTTTTTAAAAATAATGAAAAACAGCTTTTGCACAATGATTACAAATGCACAGACAGGGGCCTGGGATTTAGCTCAGTGGCACCACACCTGCCTAGCAAGCACAAGGTCCTGAGTTCAATTCCTGGTACCAAAAAAAAAAAAACAAAGACAGGGTCTGGTGTCATATGCAAAGAACTTAACATGTTGAGATTTTAGGATATGAAGTCATTTTTCTCCTTTAACTGTGAAATTGGTTTCACTGTGGTATTCAGGAAGGGGAAAATGTTAAAAGTGAGTAACAGTCTCATTATAATACCTTCATAATTGTGATGAAATTCATTTCAGTAGTCTATAGATCACGAAGAGGCTATATTCCAGTATTGACTCCTGTATGAACAAATTTCTTGGAACCCAAAAAGCATCTTCTGTTATTCCATGGTAGAAGGCGTCACGGGTAACCCTGGGAAGCCCATTTCACCACCGTGATGTTTAACAACAGAAGGAATGAGACCTAACAACTCTTTAGAGCTCTGTGTGCACTGAGAAACACATTCTGAAGCCAAGTCAACGTCCCCAGGGCTCAGGTCACCTGTTGGGAAAGGTTGCGTTTTGATGCTGAGAACACAGACAGGTAAGCAGGGACCATTGTGAGGACTCAGCAGGTAACCATGCAGAGGTTACCATGACAGCTGGAGATGGGCTGGGAGTTCCCATAATGCCTCCGTCAGGTCCCACCATGCTCTGGGTCAGAGTGGGCACATACGGGTGACAGAGCCCGGGACAGGCTGTGAGTCCCCATATTGAGAGCACTTGTTATCAGTATTCTGGAGTCCAGCACAAACTATGAAACTTTTTTAAAAATAAAAACAGTAGACACCATAGTTCACAGATCACCCTGAAAGGTCCTATTAGGCTTGTTACCTGATGTATTATCTGGCAGTCAAGGAAATGGACCTGCAAATTTCTTTTTTTTGTTTTTTTTTTGTTTTTTTTTTTTTTGAGACAGGGTCTCACTATGTAGTTGAGACTGACCTGGAACTCACTATGTAGCCCAAGCTGGTCTCAAACTCACAGCGATCCTCCTGCCTCAGCCTCTCAAGTGCTGGGATTACAGGCGTGCGCCACCACGCCTGGCGGACCTGCAAATTTCTCATGGATCACCTTTGTCTTTGTTTCTCCTAAATTTGAGATACAGAAAAGGGTACAAAAGAAGCACATACAGAGAGAAAGACTTTGAGGTAGGCATTTCCCCAAGCACTGATCCCTAATGAACGCATCATTTACCACAGAAGAAAAAGGGAGCTTTTCAGGCTTTTACCATTTCTTTTCTTTTTTTTTTTTTTACAGTTTTTTTTTTTAAATTTTATTGAGTTTATTGGTACATTTTAGTTACCATTTCTTAAGATGATGTAGCAGCCATGAGGAAGGCACAGAAACCACTTTCAAAGGGCCCCACAGTAATTTCCTGTATCAATGCAAAATAACTTTGCAGAGAAAGAAAACATTGTAACATTTATAAAAGAAGAAGACAAAGGAGTTCAGATCACTTTAATCTCACCACCATTATAATCCTCAACAGATCAGCTCAAAGGGAGAAGAAGAAATAGGAAGTTGTTTAGACCAGGCCAGGAAAACCAAGCTGCGGGACAAGAGGGACTGACAGATAACAGCAGAGGACACCAGTGGGGCAAATTTCAGCTGCTACATATAAATGTTCCTAGTAATAGAAATCAAGCACAATGAGAAGATATAGAACTTAAAGGTAAAAATATTAAGCTTTTCAACAAGACTCACCCCAACACTTTTTGCTTTGTGGGTTTTTTTTGGGGGGAGGGTGCCAAGAATCGAACCTAGGGTATTGCACATACAAGACAAATGCTCTACTGCTGAGCTCAACTCCCAGCCTCGCCCTAAAGGTTTTTGTTAAAGGAAATCACAAATCTCGACTGTTCTGGCACAGTGACAATACTTTACTCACATCTGCAATCCCCCCTGGGAAACTAAAACTAAAAATGCAATATATTTACTACATGAGGCCTCAAACCAGGTTTTAAATTAAAACTCCAACTATGCCCAATTTGGGAAGTCTTTCTTAATATGTGTGGGAATAATATATAGTCTCTCTATTGAATACGTATTTAACTCAAATAGATATTGGGTTGGCTAGGGAATTTTTATTCCTATAATTTACATAATCTGGTTAGCTAATTTCTCATTTATTTAAATCCTTTTCTGGGTTGCTCATAATAGTATCACGTTTCTTTTTTTTCTCATTATGTAGTTTTTTAAAAATTAATTTTACTGGTACATTTTAGATATACATATGATCACCTTCATCCTACGGAATTTGTAACTGTACATGGTATTTTTTGCTGCTTCTTTTCCCCCCCAATTCTCTCATTCTCAAAAGCGGCTACTGCCTGCCTGTGACCATGCAACGTGACACAAATGAACAGGTAACCAGGTGAGTGGTGCATGCCTTTAATCTCAGCACTCTGGGAGGCTGAGGCAAGAGGATTGCAAGCCCCAACCTGGGCAACTTAGTGACTTAGCAAGACCTGTCTCAAAATAAAAAAAACAGGTTGGGGTGTAGTTTAGTGCTTAGGCTCTGGGTTCAGCCCAACGAACAGGTACCCTTTGTGAACTTGGCCTGAAACAGACCATGGTAAATGAGGTAGACAAAGGTCATTGAAGAATGAATTATAGGGGCCGGGGATTTAGCTCAGAGGTTCCACCGCCTGCCTCACAAGCACAAGGTCCCAAGTTCAATCCCTGGTAACAAAAATAATTTTTCCAAGAATGAATTAAAAATGAAAGCCCTAAGGCCAGGCATAGTGATGCATGTTTGTAATCCCAGCGCCTGGGAGGCTGAGGCAAGTCTGAGGTCAGCCTCCGCCACATAGTGAGTACAAGGTCAGTCTGAACTATATAGCAAGACCCTGTCTCAAAAGAAAACAAAAACCAAAAAACAACCTGAAGGCCTAAATCTATTTTAAATGTTTTTCCTGCGTTAACAAGCCCCCCCGCAAAAGAGTGCCCCTCATTTCTGACCAGCATAGAAGCTGCTTCCACTGCCTGACGAACTTAAGCTCTTAGAGGCTGTGAGCACATGAACTCAGCCATGGGGCCCACCCCAACCTAAATCCTCTCTCCCAGGCCCAGGTCAGGCCACCTGTTCAGTCCCTGGGAACCCCCTGGTCAGCTCTGCGTCCTAACTGTGGACACAGAAGTGCTTGCTCTACTGCCTCAAGGCCAGAGAGGCTGCGAGGGCCCTATGTGCTGTGGGGAAAATCCTTGGCCTCTTGAGCCAGAATGTCAGCATCACTTCAGGTCTTTTTGTTGGTGGTGGTGGTGGTGATTTTCAAAGTAGCACAGATTGAACTCAGGGCCTTTGCACTGAGCTACATTTCCCCGCCCTGTTTTATTTTGAGACAGAGTCCAAGTTAAGAAAATTAGGCTTAAATTTGTGATCTTCCTGCCTCAGCCTCCCAGAATATTGAGTTTACATATTAAATTTTTAAAGTTTCTTAAAGGTGTTGTGTCCTAAAACTTGATTCATTCTTCCAAGATTTATGGAGGCTCCTTCTTCACGATAACTGCTCCAGACGTTCAGGACAGGACCAGGGATGGCACAGTCCTGCTGAGACATGAGACACCATCGTGGGTCATCACAGAGCAAACCGCACCCCCTGGCAGGATCGGAGAGCAGAGAGCTGGCTGGACTAGCAACTGTGAATGCTGGTTGTCTTCTCTCAAGTCACAGACAGTGAACGATTCAACTGACTCCACTGTGCTCGAGGAAGGTACCAGATGTCGGTTCTCACAGCATGTTTAAATAAATAAAGGTTAAAAGACGATGCACCAAAAAGTGGAACAGAACTCTACAAAACAGACCCAGGGGGAAATGGAAATAAGACAACTACGTTCACATTTCTCCAGCAGCCTTCTGTATGAGATGACTCGACAGCCACCGGAGCTGTCCACTGACGGACCGTCGGCAGGACCAGTCTCTTCGCTCTCCTCCTGGGAAGTCTGCAGGAAGTACTTAGCCCGGCATTCAAGGCCCCATAAGGTGGCGCTAACCAACCTTTCCAGCCTCTTCTGTATTTCTCTGTAGGGTACATAGGCACCTTTCCTTTCCTTTGCCTGGCTTTTTATTCTTCAAATCCCCTACCTAATAACATTTTCTTCCTTTATCAAAGATTATCTCAACTACATCCGTGGTGGAATTTTTCTTGTTCCCCTCTATTTGCAAGCCCAGAGCATACAGTACTGGAACTCTCTTCTAGCTACCTTTCATCTTTGTCTCATCTCGTAACATCTGTTTGTTCGTTTGCAGACACAGTCTCACGATCCTGAACTCACTATGCGGTCTAGGCTCACCTTCCATTCATGGTGATCTTCCTGCCTCAGCCTCCAGAGTGCTGGGATGACAGGCATTGCACTGTCTTGCCTACGTTTGTAGCATCTTTCTTCACAACAGCAAAAGGTGGAAATGACCCAAGCATCCCACTGACAGATAGATAAACACAAAGTGGCATCTACACAGCATGTCACATCATGTGGCCTTACAAAGGAAACACCGCACACGACGGCACGGGTGAATATGAAGGCTCGTGCTAAGGAAAAGGGGGCAGTCACAGAAGGACAGGGACTGTGCCACTCCTCTACCCGAACAGGCAAACTCGGAGACACAGATGGCAGCATGGCAGTTACCAGAGGCCGGGGGACCAAAGAATAGGGGACTGTGCTTAACGGGAACAGAGTTTCTGCTGGGGAGAAGGAAGATTCAGGAGACACGGAGGGTGGGGACGGCTGCCCTCAGTGCCACGGAAGGGTGGCATCAAGGTGGTGAAGGAAGGAGCTCAGCGATGCCGCGCCTGCCTGGCACGCACGGGCCTGGGATGGTGACACCGAGTGCGGCACATCCCGGTCCAAGGCCAGACGTTAGGCAACAGGCGGGCTCCATTATTTCTCCCAGGCTTCTGCGGTGTCCTGAGCACGCAGGACCTTCAACAGAAAAGCCAGGATCCGGGGCACTTTCCTATCCTGTCGCTGAGACCCAACACCCGACACCCACAGAGTAAAGGAGGTGAGGGTGATTCTGGCTCGCATTTAGTCCACAGTGGAGCTCCAGGCTGACGACGGGACAGAGCACAAGCAGTCCCAAGGGAGAAGCAGGGAGGGGGCCGGACCCTTGCCGGCCCCGCCCCCAGCGATCAGGCCCCGCCTCCTATGAGCTTATCATCCAATCACCTTGCAAAAGTAAACCACCTGTGTGCGCAGGAGGCTGTGGGAGGACATCTGGGGCTAAACCACAGAGAGAGTCACCCCGTAATAGTTCTAGGGCCACACCTCACCCACACCAGCCACAAGTGGCTTCCCCACTTTAACCACAGTGCCACATGCTTTCCTTCCTCTGCCTGTCCTCTGGTGCCCTACCCAAAGATGCAGGCGGGTTATTCTGAATGGTAGCTAAGGCCATAAACACCAGCTCACAAGAGCCAGAGTTAAATGTTCTAGCTGGTTAAATTTACCATTATTAAAAGTAAACCAGATAAAGGTGCACTTGCATATTTAAAACAAAGGTGATAAATTTTATTATCATCTATGATTTAAAGTTATATTTTTGTCTCTTACATCCATAAGGCGATGATAAGCTGGGCGTGGTGGCGCACGCCTGTAATCCTAGCACTTGGGAGGCTGAGGCAGGAGGATGGCTGTGAGTTCGAGACCAGCCTGGGCTACATAGTGAGTTCCAAGTCAGTCTTAACTACATAGTGAGACCCTGATTCAAAAAAAAAGAAAAGAAAAAAGGGAAAAAAAAAAAATAAGGTGATGATACTATATAAGAATGGAACTAGCTGCACCTTTGCCTGACTGCGTCTGGTGATATCGTGTCGATTCCTAAAACTGGCCACAGTTGGAACTGACAAACTGGAAACTGGCCAACACTGTGAACCAGAGTTTTTGGTTTTCAAAAGCTCTGGCTGTTAAACAAGTTCTTCCCTATTCAGTGGAGCTCACATCTAATTTTGGGGGAGAGGGGAGTGGCATTTTCTTTTTTGAGACAGGGTCTTGCTATGCAGTTCAGGCTGACCTTGAACTCCCTATGTAGCCAAAGCAGCCTTGAACTTGCGCGACCCTCCTGCCTCAGCCTCCCAAGTGCTGAGATTACAGGCATGTGCTACCAAACCCGAAACATCAATAATATTACATACCTTCAAAAACAGTCATGAACCTTGTCCTGGGGCTGCAGCTCAATGGTACAGCATGAACATGTGATTCAATCCCCCAGCACAGCAAAAAAGCAAAAAGGCTTAGGCTTAACTCGATTATGAACCAGAAACATCAGAATGAATGGACTTCAACCACAGAAGCACAGCACGCAGGGTCCTTGGAGTAATCCTTGAAAGGAGGGAGTCTCTTTAAATCCTTAAAGTTTCCTACTCCTAAAGAGTCCTAAAGGTCACAGGCCTGTGGCTGCTGAGTTAGCAATCTGGGAGACTGCATTTTTGTATTTCTTTTTCTGAATATTTCATGTAGTCATATTCTGGAATGGCTTGTGTTGAGACGTCCCCTAAAGCTTCGTGCGGTCACAGGTGGGGCTTTTTCAGGGGTGGCTGAATCTAGGGTTGTGATGCTGGAATTGATTCACCATGCAGTGCTGGGATCAAGGGTGCTAGGATTAAGGGTGTGAGTGATACTTGCCCTAAGGGCAAGGTTGTCCTTTGTCTTTCACTTGCTTGCCAAGAATTTTCTCCTCTCCAAAGCCCCTCTGCCAGGCCACCCTGCCTGGAGCCAGCCAACTATGGATGAAAACCTCTACAAAGCGTGAGCCAAATGCTTTTCTTCCTTTAACTTGAGGTGTCAGGATTTTGTCTCAGCAAGAGAAAAAAGTAAGACAGACTCCTTTAAAAAGTAAAAACAGGGGCTGGGATTTGGCTCAATGGATCTGCCTCCGCTTACAAGTTCAATCCCCAGCACAAAAAAAAAAAAAAAAAAAAAAAAAAAAAAAAAAAGCAAAAACAGGACCACACTACCACACTACACATTCTCTTATAAATCACTTTTAAATTTTAGCATCAACTCTAGTAAGTATGAACAAATTTCCAATTATCAAATAAACTTGTATATTCTATTATAGCATCCAACTTTTAAAAGATGCTATTGAGAATGTGGGCTGGGTCTTTGCATTTGCCATGGTCTTCCTTCTCAAGAGTTTTTGGTCCCTGCACCCATGTAACCCAGGCCTTGCACTGAGCCATAAGCTGTATCTTCTGACCTTTTTCTGCTTTTTGAGGTGGAGTTTCATCTGCCTCAAACTTGCCTTACTCCTGCTTCGGCCTCCTGAGTAGGAGGGATTACAGGTACACTGCACCAAGTGACACATATCGAGCATTTGGCAAAGTTAAAATATGACCAAATGGCTGGGAAGGCGGCACTGAGGACAAACCACGTGGAGGTCACTTTTACCGTCTAAGACCCAGCCTGGATCATCTACAGCAGGAGCAGAGGGAGGCACAGGAGGAGGAAATGATGGCTGTGTCAGGCGCGAGGTCTTGAGGGGATCAGTGATGGCACACACAGGCCTCCTAAGAGCCAAAAACCAAAGATTATTACGCTCAAGGCAAAAGAGCTAACAGAACCCTTACAGGAGAGGTGGATGGGTGGGATTTTCAAAAAGCCACACCTCAGCCTTCCATGTTCCACAGAGCTCGAGTTTCCTAGCCTCAGCTCAGCCATTCCCTGAGGACCAACCCAGGCAAAGGCAGAAGCCAGTTACTGAGAGAAGCTGTTATAGACCAGAAATGAGGATCCGATGTTCAAAGGCCTAGAAAAAAAAAGTCATGATTAGAGATTCTAGAACATAAACAGATAAAAAATAGATGAGTTCAGGACCACAAGGGAAGCCATGAGTGCTCAGCATAGGAAAGAAATGGCAACCATGAAAGCCCAACATAAGAAAGAAAAGGAATCCATGAAACAGATTCAAACTAATATCCAGGAGATTAAATCAGATAGAAAAGACAGGTGGTGGTCAGTGAGGATGAAAAGAGAGATCTCTTAAAAATAGTGAGGGACCATAAGAAATCAATCTAAAAGCTCCTAGATGACACAAAGAATAACATAAGACTGATAGGAGTCCACGAAAAAGTAGGAGAAAGCACAAATGACATAAAAAAAACTTCACAGAATTGATGACAGAAAACTTCCCAAACAGAGCAAAAGAACTTGACATACAGATAAGTGAGGCATTTGGACTCCAACTAGTTATGATAAAAAGAAAATCTCCACCGAGACATGTAATAGTCAAGATCCCAGAAACTGAACAGAAGTACAAAATACTACAAGCAGTTAGAGAAAAGAAACAAATCACATGCAAAGGAAACCCAACAGAATCACAGCACTTTTCAACACAAACCCTCAGGTCAAGGAGAGCCTGGAGAGAGGTATTTCAAGCTTTAAAAGAAAACAACCCCCAACCTAGGCTGATGAATCCTGTAAAACTATCTTTCAAAATTGAGGGAGAGAAATTAGACACTTTCATGACAAAGAACACCTGAGAAACTTCATGAATACCAAACCAGCAT